TTCTTGTTGTTTCGTTGGCGAAGCACATCAAATAATATAGAAAAAGTCCCGTTCCACTGTGGCGGCTCGTCGCATCTCGTTTGTTATAAGTAATGCAAAACAAAAAGCAATAGTAATGCAGAGAGACAAGTGAATACAAAACATAAGCAAGAGAGGCGAAGGTAAACGGGAGAACAAAAGCGAAACAGAAATACGCGTACGTGTGTGCATGTGTGTGTAAGTGTACATAGGATGAACTGGTGCGTTATTTACATGTCAATGAATTTTGTTTCGCGATTAGTTTGCGCCGGCTTTTGTCTCAATTAGTTGCAGCAATTCAATTACATCTGCTTTGTGCTGCCGCCTGTGTCAAAAGCTGTCAGCTACAGCACAGCACAGCACAGCACTTATAACAAGAGCGCGTGTCGGAGCAATCAGAGTGCATAGCGATAGCGTGCCTTTGATGTCTGAGAGAAACTCATCTATATTATACAGGAAACATAATACATTTATTTGTATATTTATTCATACATATTTACACTGAAAACAATTTATATTATTTGCATTGAACTCAAATTGAATTTCATTCATGGTATTATTGAGTATCAGCTCTTGACCTGACAAAAGTTATATTTATAAATAGAATGTTTGTTAAGTAAGTATATAGAATAACACTTGAAATAGCCATACATTACAAAGTTGTCCATCATCTATATGTGCAAAGAAGGCATCATCAGTTGGTCAAACAAGTTTCAGTTTTAGTTTTTGTCCAAACAGGTGCCGGCAACAACATTCTAATTCGTCAAGAAGCAGGCGCCAATGCCATTATAAGCCCGTGCAAACAGGCACCCACACAAATAGCACATCATTCATGCTGAGCAACGCGGCGTCAATCAAATGATTGATCGCTCGAATGCACAGAAATTGCCGCAGCAGGCAGTTGCTGTCTGTCTGTCCGGCAGTTTGGCTGTCCGGCTGTCCGGCTGTCTGGCAGATTTTAATCTACCACAGGCGCATTAATAAAACAAAAACTCTTGCGAGCAGAGCAGGCTAACAGTAGGGGAAAGAGGGAGATGGAGAGCAGGAATGGGGAAGCAGTCAATTAGTAGTCATTTCGATATGGCCACAGAATCGAGTCGGGTCTGACTGGTTTATGGTGTGGGGCAGCCTGATAAGACAGCTACGAAATTTACGCTACAAATACTTTGTAAATAGATAATAAATTGTGGGACAGCCTACTTGGAGGCAACTACTGAAGCTGACCCAGAGACTGAGACGGAGGCTTGGGCTGAGGCTGGCCCGGCAAACAGCAAGTCAATTTCGGACTGGCGCTGGTTCCATCCATCAATCAACTCACAACTATCCAAGGGAATGTAAATAGTTTCGGTCGATCCTGGAGAAGGGGCAGAGCAGCGCGGCATCAATTATGCGCCTGTCTTAATATTTATGAAAATTGATTTTGACGGCACTTCGAAACACTCGGATGTCAATGTCAATTAGGGGCAGTTACGCCTGCTATGGATGGGATGGACGGGGGCTCGGATTAAGCAACCAGCAGAAACCAAATAAGAAATCAATGCGATCGAAATTTTCCTGAAAAGAAAGCAAATAACTGTCATCAGGAGTGGAAGAAAGAAACCCATATGACACACTCTGTTTCAAACTAATGCTCGAAAATCCCATTTGTCGAGTGACACATGCACAAAGGTGAGAGCTGCACACAAGAGGATGCCACAGAGACCAGCTGTAAACATTTTGCAGCTAAAATCTCCTTAATTTACTTTTAAGCGTTTCATAATATGCAGTTCCCGAGTCGGAATACCTCATTATGGGCACAATGGGTGAGGTGTCGACTGGCATTGAAGGGCGACAATGGGAATGGGAATGGAAATTGAAATGGAAATGGAAATGGAAAAGGAAAAGGGAATGCGAGTGGCAATGCAATGGCAATGGCAATGGCAATGGCAACGGAAAGCCCGAAAATGAAATTCAAACAAACCAAACAACTGACATAGATTTTTAATCCGGCTTCGTGGAACGCAGCGCTGTTGAAAGGTGCAAAAATCCAAGCACAATAGAGCCAGCTAGACTGAAGAGGAAATGCTTTGCGCGAGTTGGCCAAAGAAAGGGCCAAAGAAAATTCAATCAATGCGACAGCTTAGAAATGCGTTTGTCATAATTTCAACGAATGATTGCGAAATATTTCTCATTTCTCAATTTTATGGAGCTGCTTGCTCCTTGCTTCGATTTGTGTGTATTTTGGCTGGAAATGAAATGAAATGAATTTTTCGAGATGCGATTTGATGCTGTGGCATTGCATTCAACCAATAGCCAGGGGCGTGAACGCCATGCAGAGAGACAGAGACAGACAGAGAGAGAGAGAGAGAGGGAGAGCGGCAATGTTGACAGCAGCCCAATGCCGTGTTGGACAGTGTTATTGACATACATTTGATGTGTTGAGCACAGTGTGTGCTTTGTCTGGCAATAAAGTGCGACGTGTACGAAGGCCTTCAAGACGGCTGCAGCTGCTGAATGTGACAGACGCTCCTCGAATCGAAGGGGATTGCCGTCAAAACCTGTCATAAACAGCGTTGGGTTAAGTTGCGCTTAAAGGTGAGTTCTGAGCGTCGAGTAACCGAAAATTATTATTTATAATATATGAATTCATTTTAATAAACTTACTTTCATTTGCTTTGATTTGCTCGAGCCTCAGATTTGATTTGACCACAAACTGCAATCAAAATTAAATTTGATTTAAGTGACATCGATTTGAAAGAGAAAAGCAGCTGGAATTTCATGACAGAGTTTACTGTACCCATAGATCATTGATTTCTGATAATAAAACTATCAGCAGTGAGCGAAAGAAGCGGCAAAAACTTGAAGCAGTACGCAGTCAGACTCGAAAGGAAGAAAGCAGGGTATAAAAAACAATAAAAGCTCAATAAAGGCAAACGCTTATGGCTTTTAAACGCTGCAAGGACGATGAGGTTGACGGGAACGAAAAGCCGACAAAGTGCTGAGGCACAGGACCAAACGCAGGACGAACCTAGACGTAGTTGGCAAAATGACAATAGATTTGATTTTCCAAGGCAGGAAGCCGAATGGGAATGGGAAAGGGACAGAGACTGGGACTGGGACTGGGATTGGCATTGGCAGGCAGCAAAGGCCAAGACACAAAAGCAAACAATAAAAAAAAAAATAAAAAAACGTTTGAAAGAAATATAACAAAAATTCAAGAAGCCAGGCAGCAAATAGTTCAACAGACAAAAGAAACGGCCAGAGCGAGCTGTAGGGAGAGTGGAGAGGGAAGAGAGAGGGGGGGGGCGTGGCATTCACAATAAGCGCACATTTAAAAGTGTCAAATATCCTTTTTATGCGCTTTGGCCCCCGACCAACAAACACTTTATTTTTTTGTCACGATGCTGAGCAGCAGAAATTGTAAAGAAATGTTAATGCGATTTGATTTAAAGTATGAAAAGGCAAGATGAAGCAGCAGCGGCAGCGGCAGCGGCAGCGGCAGCGGCAGCGGCAGCAGAAGGAGGACAACAGATCCCCGGGGCAATCTACGAGCCTGGGCATACATTTCCATATTTAAAGGTTACCCAGCTGTCTGTTGCTTATGGCTTCATCATCAGACCTTAGCAGGTAGCTTAATACAGCAGCCGCCTGCCCTCTGGTCTAGCTTTAAACAATTAAGCGTTAATATTGCAGGGCTGACGGTCCCCTGTGGTAGCGAGCGGCTATTGTCCACTTGCTGTGACATTAATTTAATCCTTGAATGCATCTTTGACAGGAGCAACAACTCAACTCGACTCGGCTCGGCTCGACTCGACTCGGGTCGGCTCCTTTCAATTGAACTCAACTTGGCTCAGCTCAGTCCAACAGCACGTTAAGGCTGAAAGATTCAACTCCCATGCCCAGCCAGCTCCTAGTTCTCAGTGCCCGTTCCCAATCCGCTTCTGTCTTTTGTCTCTGGTCGGTCGGCTGGTGCCGGCGTGTGGCATTGTCAAAGGAATTAGTTTTGTGTTTTTGATTTGCACAAGGCGCACAGATGACTCTCCATGCCACTGGCCCACAGCGGTCTGTTGATTGCTTAAATAAATATGAGTCCAGTTTTGGGGCGTGCATTGGACAATGCCTTTGAGTCTTTGCATTTTACATTTCATTTTATGCGAGTGGCCGGCTGGAGGGAAAGCAATTTGTGTTTTTGTCTCTGACAGTTTTGGGCACTTTATTAAGGATATTTCTGGAACTGAGAGCAGCATAATGATTGTGTTAAATGCTGCTTGATGTGTGTCCAAAGATTGAAGTTCCTGGTAGCTGAGCAAAGCCCTTAAGCCTTGTCATACGATTATATAGAATTTAAATAAATGAATGCCAAGTTTTTTCTGCGCTCATTTGAAAATTGTAATATAGCTGTGAGCACTGAATGAGGGGTATTCCTCAATTATTTATTCCTTTTACTTTCAGAAAACTTGCATTTCTATCATGCATCTCTAGCTGTTATTAATCAATATTTATCAAAGCTAGAGACTTGAAATCTAATGAAGCAATCAATTATTTACACAAGTTTAATCCTAGAGTTCATTCAGTTCATTCAGTTCATACTGTGACTAGCAAATTTGTAGTTTTTGTAGTTTTTGAGATCGACCAGATCAAATACATCCTATATTCTGGACACGAATACATATACTCTATACAATTCGATTACTTCTGCCAGCTGCATACATATATTTATTTGCCGTTCCCAGTGACAGACATCAAGATGATCTCAAGCGCAAGGAACAGAGCTCAATACTAATATAATAATATATGTTACTGAGAATAATGAATTATAGTATAGCTTAACAGCCGATGACTAGTATTATATGCCAAGCAAGACTTCAGCTGCTGAGTGCCGATTCCAGCTGCAATTGACTTGAGGCTGCACTCTCGTGTTACTCCAAAGAGCACCTTCACCTCCCCATATATACCTTACACCTTATATGTATATATGTATAATAAACCTTGCTTGATAAGCTCTGCTGACGTTTCAGATAATGAGCTCTAAGTGCTGATTGCGCACTTTAGCAGCATTCAGTTTGAAATTATATTCCAATGAGTACACTTGACTTGGGCCAGTGCTAGTAATTTCAATGTGTATATTCCGGATAATGCTGCTAATTTTTGGTGTTATCCTGTCAGGATTATTGAATGGGATCGAAGCGACTGCGGTAAGTACATATACGAAAGATTTTGACGTAAGACTCAATTGATATGATGTGATAAAAATAAATAATGAAATAAAACCTAGAAGTATCATCTCAGAAACTTGGACTGTGTAAAATATGGCTAAAATCCAATTTCTCCTTGATAACATGGAAATGACAAAATATATGAAAATTATCCAATAAATATATATATATATATATATATATATATATATATATATATATATATATATATATATATAAATATATATATATATATTATAAATATATAAATATATATTATAAATATTTAAATATATATATATATATATTTATATATATATAAATTTGATATCTCTAGTTTTTGTGGACTACGGACAGTTGGATAAATCAGTTCGTCTGAGTTATCAAGAATATACTATATATATTATACTGTTGAGCATTATAACTGACAATCCATTCTATATATTCCAGTTTATCAATGTTTCAAGCAGTGTTGACTCCCGGTGCAGAAATTACATTGACGACATTGTTAGACACCTTCAGCAACCACTAATCTCGCTTCAGGCGGAAATAATCCAAATGCAGCAGCTCAAAGAGTCCTTTAAGCACTTCTTGGACTCCTTGACGATCAGCAACATAGAAAAGGCAAATATCCAATTTACCACTGAAACAGAAATGTCGCAGAACATAACCAACAGCTGCTTAGGAAAAAGCACCGGAATATACAAAATAAAAGTACCTGGATTGAACCCTTTTCCAGTGTCCTGTGACTCGACTCTGATTACTTCCGGTTGGACCGTAATTCAGCGTCGTATAGACGGCTCCGTGAGCTTCAATCGCAAGTGGGAAGTGTACCGGTCTGGCTTCGGTAATTTGAACGGAGATTTTTTCCTAGGCCTCGAGAAGATACACCTGTTGACAATATCCCAAAAGCACGAGTTGTATATTTATCTAAAGGACTTCAATGGTGAAGACAGATATGCGCGATACAGCCACTTCCTCGTTGGGCCAAACGAAGACAACTTTAAACTTATATCACTGGGAGACTACTCTGGTAACGGAGGTGACTCCATGGCTGCTCATCTGCATATGGAATTCTCTACCCCAGATGCAGATCACGATAATCACAAGTCACTACATTGCGCAGAATGGATTACTGCTGGCTGGTGGTACAACAGCTGCACTCAGAGGTAACAGAATCTATAATTCAGATAAGCGTTAAAGGGAATATATTTATATATATACATATATATATATATATACATCTTTTTTTTACTTATAGTGATTTAAACGGATTGTACAAGCTGCCGGAATCGGAAAGTCAAACTTTTGGAATAAATTGGTTTACATGGCACGCCAAAACACTTAAGTTCGTTCAAATGATGATCAGGCCAGTATAAAAGGAATTGTAATCCGTACTGAAATACTTCGAATACGATGTTTAACGATGTGTATTACCAATAAAAGTAAGCCAGCTCGAAGCGGGAAGGGGAGGCAAAGGAAAACATGTTATTCTAGTAGTATATAAATTGTTTATGGACATTGTAGCTTAGGTATCAAAACGAATGAATTATGGATTTAGTTTGGCTTCGATAACTGGACAATATCTTAGCTGTCGGCGAAGGCAACATGTTGTGGCAGTTACTCCGAACCGGTTTGATTGATCAGCTGTCACATTTACATGGCAACAATCATATTTCAATTGGCCTTTAATGAGTTGCAGCAGCAGCAAAGACACCGCAGAGACCCGCTGCCAGGGACAACTTTCCAGTCCAAGGTCTACTTGTTGCCCGTGTCGCAGTCGTTATGCAAAAAGGTAGCGGGGCAGGCAGAATCAGCTGAAACAGCAGCAACAGTAGACCCAGTTATTAATTAATTAGCGAACGCTCAAATTAATTGCAGCCATTTGTTGCACAGTCAGTGCTGCTTGCAACGCTACGGCTCGCGCCGCTATGGCCTGGGCGATCGATCAGAGCGAACCACTCATTGGTGGGTTGGTCCAGCTGCCGCGCTGGCGTCGAAGTGCCACTCAACAGTGTTGGCAGTGTTGGGACAGGCGCGAATGAGTGGGTGTGGCACACATTTGTGCTTTCTACAATATGCGCTGATTGCCCAGAAACTAACCGACGTCGCCCGCCCCACTTCCACTTTCACCCAACTTGCTTAGCCAACACATACAATGAAAACTTAATTAAGTTGTCAGCTGGAAGGTGGGGTAGCATCGCAATGCTTATTCCGGCTAGGAGGAGCATCCTCATAAAACGCTCATTACGAACCAAAACCAAACCAGAACGAAGCAAAGCAAATCAAATGGCAACTGGCAACTGGCAAATGGCAGAGCTCAAGGTCCTGAGCGCTCTGGTCGTTGTCACCCTTTCGTCCTTGCTGACAATAAAAACAGTCAAAGAGTCATGGGCGCCAGCTTTGGTGCTCGCTTCGTCCTTTGGCATTCTGTCTCTGTCTCTGTCTCTGTTTCTGTTTGTGTTGCCTACTAATTTGAATATAAACAAGTTCTGCTTTTGGATTTCCAAATGAAAATGTTGCGTACATCCTTTGCTAGATAATTTATGCATATGAACGTTGCGACGCGCCCTTTCCCCCGGTCGAGCTATCCCCTTCCTTAACATCCTGGCTGCTGCCGCTAATGCAAATTTATTTAGACATTCTGACTCCTTTTTTTGTATTCCTGATAGGCGTTAGGCGTTCACTGACATTTGTCGCATTATTCATTGCGCCGCGTGCATTGGGAATACAGCTCGCTCTTCGCTTTCCAGCCCTATGATTGAATCGTAAACTGTGATTTCCTAGTGGGCTGATCTATACAACATATGACTCATTTTTGTGCAGGGTTGAAAGCGAATTCAATAGAGCGCAGTTCTCTTGGCGGAGCTAAGTGAGCCTTGATTTGGACTAGAATACAGAGTAAGCCTATGACCTGAATAATCATGAGTATATCTGTAGACGAGGTCAATTGTTAACCATCTGGTATACTCTGACTCTGATTAACAAATGCTTGATTAGGCAAGATTTCTGTTGGGATTTATCTTCAGACTAGGAGAGTCTTAGTGCCAAAAAGAGATTTATGAGTAAAAGCTTCATTTTTCGTTTAAAGCGTGACAGATCTTAGGCTAAATAAATAGTGCCAAGCTTGGGTAAATGGACCAAAATATACTCAGATTCACAGAATGTATGCACAGCTGAGGCAAAAAGTCAATTTATAAACTTTAAGCAAACTATAGCAAAACTCAATTATAGTTATTTGATATCTTGTTTGATCTGAATTGAATATACGACTCGCTGTTGAATTTCATTACTTGAGACATCTGATAAAAGAAATGTATTCCTTAGATGCAACTCAAAGTAACTTTAAGCACAGCTCGGCAGCAGTTGCACTCTTCGTGGCCGTCTTATTTGCAATTGCAAAAAAATTTGACCTACATTCCGCAGCTTGAGCAAACAGAAATCAAAGGGGGTCGCTGCCACGCCAATGAAAAAATGAAGCCAAGTTACCTAATGAACTCAAGGTTCACTCGACTCTACTTTATATACTCGCCCGAGCTTACTTACAGCTAGTTCTTTAGAGGGAGAGGGAGAGGGAGCGCGAGAGAGAGATTGAAAAAAGCTAAATAACCCTTCGTAGCTATTTCCAAATTATTGGAGCATTAAAATTGAAATGATTATTGTGTGTTTTGGTCGGGCAGCAGTGAATAGCTGAATAGCGAGAAGCCAAGAGGCAGGCGAATGAAAGAGCTGCCGAAAAATGAGGGAAAATCGGCCAAGTGTGAGAGGGTGGTTGGGTGGTTGAGTAAAAGAAAACACATTCACACCTACCAGAGCAGGGCGTAGGTCGGCTGCCTCAACCATTTGCGAGCTGCTGCCTGAATTTCGTGGTGCGAATATAAAGTAAATAAAAATACGAAAACATAAAAAGCAAATTCGCATTTGCAAATAAATCAGAAGCAAATCAGCTGCTGACAGGGGAAGTATTTATGGATCAGTGTGGCCTGAGGCTCTTACCCACTGGGCTGCCGCACCCACACCCACACCCACATCGCATGCTCTTTGTCGCCTGTGTTTGCCCAAAACCAAGAGCATAGAACAAATTCGTAAAAATTAAGAAACAAATCGAAAATCAAGCACGGAGCAAGAAGGAAAATCGCAGGCGAAACTCTATGCTGCTTGTTTGCCTTTCACCCTCGCTGACTTGGGGTAGAAATGCTGTTTGAATTTTTTTGCATGCATTTTTATGGCACATTTTGAAATAAATTTGCCAAGAGATTAATTCGGACCGTTTGGCAGGGTGTAAATAAAATTTTCATGAACTCCTTGCGCGGGGCATTCTGTAGTTTGCTCCGACTTGGGTCACGCTAGATTTGGCAATGTGTTAAATGTTCTTGAAATTTCAGCTGCTTGCCCACTCGAGTGGCATCAAGCAGCTGCCAAAGTTGGTTAATTAAGATGTCAAGGTTGCGGTTCTTGTGGGGTCGGCATCCAGAGGGGAGCAAACGGAGAGATATTTCCCGCAGCAAGTCTTATCGCCGGCAATTTCTTCTACTGTTTTGAATCTAACAATTACCCAAAATGAAATAAACCCAATCAACAGCAGGCAGAGTTCTTTAAGCAGAGACCCTTGCCGTTGATAAACAGATTTTTAACTTTGAGTTGAAGAGAAGTCTCTCTCTTCGAATATATATAAATATTCATGAATATATATACTATGATTTTTAAAACCTTACAAGGATTATATCAATTATTTTTCAGTCGAGCTTACTTCCATTGAGATGAAAATTAAATGAACCGATCTGGCAAGTGAGATGGGTATATCCTCTTGTATTCTGGCAAGCTGGTTATGTTAGGCAGTATAGCTTGCTTCCATGAGATCCAGCTAAAAGAATGAAACTAAAAATCTATATTATTATATATTTTTATATACTTTTAGACCTTATAGGTATACTCAAAAATATGAATTAAGGAAACTTAAGCTCAGCTTAAATCTTTTTATTTATATTTGTATATTTTATTTAATAAAAATTTTCTGGTATTCCAGCTATATTTCGCACACGCTGAAACTGAGATGTGAAAACCTCGAACTTCAAGTAGTTGTAAAAGAGTTCAGTTGTAAAAGAGTTCAGTATAAAAACTCTTTTACAACTACTTGAAGGTCGAGGCTTTCACATCTCAGATTCACCGCAAACGCTCGAGCCGAAGGAAAGTTTCCATTTGCTGTTTTAACTTTGTATTAATCAGGTTATAGTGACTCAGTTAGCGAACTGACTCTGCCAACTGCTTGGATTTGCTCTCACATATTCGGTAGACCATTAAGTTATAAATAAATAATAAGTAATTGGAATAAATTTGAATAAATCTGTAATGTGACTCGCAAAGCTGCTGTCTTATGCTGCCATTAGAGTCCATTGGGCATTATGCTACTTGTTTAGGTAGTCCCATTCAAATGCAAATTTGCAAACAGTTCATTATCTTTTAATGCGCCATCGTTTGCGATAAACACAATTCGAAATTCACGCAAAAATAATGCGTCAAAATTATGAATTCAACATTTGCCAAATCAATGAAAATTAATTTCATAAGCAAAAACAACAGACCCCAAAAAGCAAACAAATGCCTCTGGGGCGGCCATTTGGCTGGCTAGTTAGAATGATTGAGTGAATTGGCATATCTGTTCGCGAATGAAATTACATTTTCATTATTTTTGGCTCAGCTTCAGCTTGAATTGCAGATAAAATGAGTTTTTTCCCTCCCCCTCTCCCGCTCGCCCTCTTACTCTGTGTGTGCGGAATGCACAATGTGAAACAATTATAAATGCGCATCCCATTTAAATTGTTGTTGTATGCCTTGCTAGTATGCTCTGTAATCAATGAGGTGCTCTACATAGGGTATGCTGAGAATGAAATTATCCTGTAGATAAATATGATGAATGAAGTTAGCCCAGGCTGATTTGATTAGTCTATTCCATAGCTGAGAGACTCTTAGATTCGAAGAGTTAGCTTGATAACGGGTTGGACTGTGTGTACTTAAAAGAGTATATCCTAGTCGCACATACCCGACTGGCCGACTCTTGTGTTGCTTGTTGTGTTCTGTTTTTGGACATTTGGTGAATTGTATGGAAAATCAAATGATACTCGGGCCACATATCAAAGCGACGCTATGAAATTTCATGTAAATCAAATGAGTTTTAAATTTTACAATGTGCAAACCAAAAGCTACAATAACAACAAGAATAAAGTATGCAAAGCGAGCAAACAAATAAACAGGCTAACAAACGGCAGGACCCGCCAGATAGCCAGACAAATAAACGGACATATTTACAACTGCATTTGCTTCTATGGCGCAGCCTGGCCTGGCCTGGCATGGCATGGCATGGCATGGAATGTCATCATGAAGAGGCGGATGGGAAGTTGGGTGTCCAGGAGGAGCGCAATTTGTTGGCCAAACTAGAAGAATACTGAAGCGTATTTTGTTTTGTTACACTTTGCGCATAA